ATTGTATAAGACAGTGTCTAGGAGAAATTTGGGAAAGTAGCTGTATGGCCGACTTGTTTGGCAGAGAAGTTTGACATAAGAAATAGTTGCCTACTTTTCGGGCATTGCATTGGACGGTACTGTTCGGCCTGTGGAGGCCATCACGGGTACCGTTTTGGTAATCTGAATCGCCAATGTGTAGAACTCTTCGAATACTATATGCGTGTAAAAAATCATGTTGATTGGATATCGATAGTTATCTGATCGGATTAGTTTTTTTTCAACCGTTAACTATAACACCATCCATTTTTTATACAAAACTTATTTGATCATGTAGTTATCGATATTCGATCAACGTGATTTTTTATAGACATATAGTACTCGACGAGTTCTACACATTGCACGATTCAAATTATCAAAACGGGACCCATGATGGAACCATATGGGCCGAAAATGATTTTGTTGTTTGTGAACCGATCCTATGCAAATTTTCCAAAAAGTTCATTTCAAAAGTCTGTGGACGGCAGAATGTGTTGCAATAATTTTTGTATAAAATTATTATTATTATTTTTTAGTGAATAGTGCTAACTTTTTAACTTTTTAAATAATTTTTTGACCTTTTGAATTATTTGCAACATGCTAAACCAGGCCTAAGTCACATCATCTTATTTAAGTCATATCACCTCTGTACCACATCACTTTAAACCCAACCCATATTTCATAAAAATCAAAAAGTGCACTTATTTAGAACGTGCTAAACAACTCCTAAATACAAATTAGGGGTGCAACTTGGGCGGGCTGAACCCGAGCAACCCGAACCCAGCCCGAATTTTTTTAGGGCTTGGACAAGATATTTTCAAGTTCGGTGTGGGCTTGGGCAAAAATTCAGAAACCCGAACTAAATTTGGACGGGCTTAGGCAAAGACATCAAATAACCCGAGCAACCCGAAACTCAAATTATACATATATAGATATATAAAAATACTAAATATATATATATAAATTATTAGTCATTATATGATATTAAAGTAATTTAAATTATTAAACCATATTGAATATATATTATATATACCAATAACATAAAATCTTACTTTTTTTAATTTTTTATTTTTACTCATAAATTGTAAAGACTACTATAGCGGCATCTCTCTTACATTATATAAATTATTTATTTTGATGGTATTAATAATTTTCTATATATATAAAAAAAAATGTAAATAGAGTCAAATTTTAATAATTTAATAATGTAGCTAGAAAAAAAAAATACAATTCGAGCAACTCGGGCAATTCGGGTTTAACTCGGGTCGGGCTTGGGCAGACAATCTCGGGTTACAATTCGGGTTTGGGTGGGTTTGCGCAAATCTTAGCACAACTTAGGCTGGGCTTAGACACCCTCTTAACTCGATCGAACCCGCCCGAGTTGCACCCCTAATATGAATTCACTAATTTTGAAGGGAAAATTTTGACAAATTGGGCCCAAAAAAAAAATAGACTACTAGTTTTTTCCTTTTTTTATTTTTTTATTTTTTTATTAGTTTTCCTCTCATATCTCTTTCTCAAAACAAAACACAGGTTAGTCTTACTTCAACGCGTTCTCCTCTAGCGCCACCACCAACATCACCAGTTCTCTTCCTTCAGCTCCGCCGCCGACATCACCCGTTCTCTTTCTTCAGTGCCACTGCCGGTGTTGCATCTCTGAGCCCGTCCGCCCGTCTCCTTCAATGCCTCATGTTCTTTTCCATCAACGCCTCCTGGTGACGAAAACTAGTGAAGAAAATAAATTTCGTTAGTAAATAAAAATAAATCGTAATGAATTTATAAATTTCATCACATATAATAAAAAAAATAAAAAATTATAGGTGACGAAATTTATTTTCGTCAATAAATACTTTCTTTTAGGTGAGAAAAATTAAGTTTCGTCACAAAAAAATTTCCGCTAATTGTTTTGGGTGTCGCCAAAATTTTGGAATTTTTGGTGAGAAAAAAATTTATCACTAATTATAAAATTATTTGTGAGAAATATATTTTCGCCACCAAATATTTTTAACATTTTTGAGATCTTTTAGTGAGAAAATAATGTTGTCACTAATTTTTGGTGGGAAAATTTTATGTATTGGGTGGCAATGAAAAACAAATAGGGTTTTAATTTTTTTTACCTCTTTTCTGTTTATCATCCTTCTCTTTTTATGTTTATCCTCTCTCTCTCTCTCTCTCTCTCAAAATAGGCTATTAATTTGTCTCACCTCTTGCTCCTCCTGCACGCCGACTGCTATCGTCATCGCCTTTATTAGCCTTGCCGGTTGCCGCCACCACTAGTAGCCTTGCTGGTAACCACCGCATCTTTTCCGCTCGCTGATTTGGTACACGATTTCTTTTTGCTCTTTTTCTGCTGTATCTTTCTCTTATTCTCTGTTTTGGGTTTCTTTGTATTGTTTTTTACAAAATGGGTCTCTGGATTTGGACTTTTTGCTTCTTGATTTGGTGTTTCTGTTTATCATCCCATTCTTTGTTTGTTTTTCCTGTTTAAATTTTGAGGAGAATTGTTGGAGACATTATCTAAAAATTTTGTGAAAGAATTATATGGTTGATGATTTAATGAATCTGTGAATAAAATTTTGTGAAAGAATCTGTGAATAAAATTAGTATTGCTGTAAAATTAGTATTGCTGATATATGATACAAGTGCTCATGCTTTTTTGGGTCTGTATCTAGTTTGATTGAAATTCATCATTATAGTTCTTGTAATTTAGTCATTTTTTCCCAGATCTTAAATGAAGTTTTGAATTTGGGGTCAGTGCTATGATCCTTCATTGGTGTGCCTCTGTTGTGCTTTGAAAAGATCTCGTTTCGTAATTTATTTTTAATTTTTTTTGGGGGGAGGAGAAGTAGAGTCCAGATCTTCTCCAGCTTCTCTCTCCAGCAGTTTCTCCGGGCAACGACTCAAATAGAGCCACATCACCTCCAAAGAAATATATGGCTCAGATTTATTCGTTAAACCCAAAAAATAAAAATAAAAAATACACACCCACACCCACTGCACACACACTCTCTCTCTGTTCCTTTCTCACTGACACAAACACACTCACAGCACACATTCTCTCTCTCTCTCTATCACACTTCTAATAAAAAAAAAAAAACTATTTTAATCTTTTTTATTTTATTTTCATAATATATACATATATATAATTTTCAATATAAAATTTTAATTTTTATAAAATTAATATCATTGATTTATTTTAAGCCATTAGATTTTTACAAATGAATCTCAGCCACTGAATAATTTGATTAGGAATATTGGCAACCCCTTCAACCGGTTATCTTTTTTTTTTCAAATTTTTTCAGTTTTTTTCCCAAACCCCTCTGTTTTTGAGACAGCACGCAGACCCTCCTCTTCGCCCTCGAAGACCATCCCTCGAAGGCCATCCCTGCGAAGACGACCCACCCTCGACTTCGCCTGAAGGTATGTCTCTCTCTCTCTTTCTCTCTCTCTGTAACTTTTTTCTCTCCCCCTTTGTCCATGTCCATTGTATGAAACCCTAGACCGCAATCCCTTTCTTTGAAACTGTGAGTTCACGTTTGTGAACTCACTGGGTTTGTTTATAAAAATAGGAAAATATTAGGTTTAGGTTTTTTATGTTTGTTTGCTTTGATTGTTGTTTTGATTCCCTTCTTCGAAATCCCCTTTTGTTAACCCCCATTTCCTGTATCGATTCTTGCTTCCCATTCTTCAAAGTGCCCCTTTCACGTTTGTATATATAGTAGAAGGATTGCGAAACTCATATCGTGAGAAGGATTAACTATGGTTTTTGCTGCAAAGAGAGAACCTGAAGAACATAGACAACATGACCACAATATCAAGAGAGATTGAACACAAAATACTTAAAACCTTTGACTAAGAGATTGAGATGTTTTGGCTTCCATCTATTGTTCACCATGTGTTTGATAATATGCCTAAACCAACTTGAAAAAAAAAAAACTCGACAAACAAGAAATGGCAAAAAAGAAAACAAATATACAAAGAACACACACACAAAGAAAAGAGAATCAAATCAGCAACTTCCTTAAATTAATTGAAAAAACAAACTAGGAAAACAAACAAGAAATGGCATAGCCAAACAGCAGGGAAGAAAAAAAAAACCCAGGAAAGTAAGCTTAATATACAAAAAAGATTGAAACATCAAACTCTTACTTCTAAAGGCTAAATTTCTTAGAAGTGGATTGAAACATTAAATTTATTACTGAAGGCTAAATTGCGTCTTGTCATTTGCTTTCTATTAGAGCACAGAAAATTGAAACATCAAACTCTTACTTCTAAGAGTATCCGGAATATTGTCATATCACTTCTTGCCAAAAATGAGAAATGTAAACACAAAACATCGTTTCGGTGTTCCTTTAAGCATCGTTTTAATCACGCATTGTGTTTTGTCATTTTGCTTTCTATTAGAGCACAAAACATGGAAACATCAATCTCTTACGTCTGAGAGTATCCGTATATTGTCATTTCACTTCTTGCCAAAAAATGAGAAATGTAAACACAAATGTTCCTTTAAGCATCCTTTTGTGCCATTTTTCCTTTATTCAATTTGGAGGAATAGAATACATACATCTCAACACCCCTCTTTATATACTTTGCAACCTAGCCTTAGTATCTCAACACCACTTTTATCTAACTGTTTGTTTGGATAAGTGAAAAGTAGAGAAGTTAGTATAAATGAAGAGAAACTCATTTTTATAATAACCCACATTTTGAATTTGGAGAGATTGGGAGTGAAAAAATAAATAAAAAATAAAATCTCCAACAAATCACTAAATTTTATAATACCAAAAACTGCCCATTTAGATATAGAAAAAATTAAAAAACCGACCTCTTATATAAAAAGTTATTTTGATAATATAACGTGAAATATCTAAAAAAAAAAATTCTTTCCTTTTATGTAGTTCAACCAAAAAAGAGTGGAGAAAAATCATTTTTCTATTCTTTTCTCTCATAACTTATGTAATGATTTCTTTTCTTTTCCTAAGTTCCCAGACATAGTGTAAAAAATTTATTATAAAGAAAATGTTATTTTCTTGAAACACAATCAAAATCCGCCCCACTAAATTCTAATATTTTAGTAACGAAAACACATTCAAGTTATTTTCTTGAAACACTTTCAAAGTCCACCGCACGTTAGCAATTTGAATATATTGGAGGGCATTGTATCATTGTCATTAATAATCCTTTCCTGGTTGGAAAACAGGATTTTTTTTAAACTAATTTTTGTCATAGGACCTTTGAGAAGCAGGGTTTGGCGCCATTTCTGTGATTGCGTCAAATGGCAGAGTCACCGGTTTTTGATCGAATGATGAGTCATCTTCGTGCAACATGCAAGTATGTATGTGTCATAATTTTTGATACCTTTATATGCATATTGTGTTGCTCATATCCATAATCATGTTTCGCTCCTGTTTTCTTTTCTTTTTTTGTTTTTTTTATCATATATTTTGGGCAAGTGCTTTTTTTTTTTTTTTTATCATATATTTTGGGCAAGTGTTTTTTTTTTTTAACACACTGAATTCAAATATGATTGATTCTTTAAACGCTAGGATAAGCATATTCTAAAGTGGTTATCACATTTTGTGATGCTTTCTTTTGGAATTGGTATCTTAAAGTTAGAAACACTTTCTTTTCTATTTTTTCTACTTTTATGTTGTGTAACTGATATGGACCTCTCTTATTTGGTTTTTTTAGAGTTTGATGTGTTAGGGAAATAAACACCTCCCCAACCTTTTTTTACTGTTGAAAACGTGATATTTTTCTATCTTCTATTTCTAGAGATGGCAGGCTTGAAAAATTTATTGAGTTTCTATTTTCTTTTTTTCTGATGCAATTATATGCTAACCATGTCCTGATATGGCCCCTTTGAAGAAAAGTAATCATTTTGAGGTGTTGGGTGCTTTTAGGTTTGATTCTTTCCAATGAGGACCTAGATGCGTGGTACTAGTGTTGGTGTGCAACAAACATGGACCATGGACATGATCCTCATTCCTCCCCATGAGTGTTTTTGTTTGTGATGAAGATGAATATTTATTTCTCGTAACCACTAAATTCTAATAGAGTACGAATGTGATGGGGAAGGAGCTTCTTAATAGAAGTGTCACATGGATACGTACCCGCTTTTTAGACGTAGTCTTGGTGTGCACTATTTGATCACATTCTTCTTGTTTTATTGAAAGACCTCTTCTCTCACCTGCTTTACTCATGTTTTAATGAACATTCAAAGGTATTACACCGGTTATCCAAAGGATCTTGGGCCATCACGAGTTATTCATTTTACTTCCGAGCGTGAGTTTGTTCAGCTTCTACATAAAGGATACCCTGTGGTTGTTGCGTTTACAATCAGGTGATTTGGGACCAGTACTTTCCTCATTTTTGTTGTCCTATGTTCATTGAACTGACTCTCTGGTAAATCAACTTATTTGGGGTGGTGCAGGGGTAATTACACTAAATATCTTGACAAAGTACTGGAGGAAGCAGCTGCTGAATTTTATCCACGTGTTAAATTTATGCGTGTAAGAAGCAAGTCATCTTATCTCAACTTGCCTTAGTTAGCTACATGAATCCATCTTTTGCGATTAATTTTTTGCAATCCATATTCCCTTGCTAAACCAAGGTAGTTATCTTATCTCCTTTCTTCCATCCTTAACCAACATTCGTTTTGAGCTTCTTCTTGTCCTTGTGGCACCTTCCCTTAGATCAAATTACTCTTCCATTGGGGAACAGTGTATTCACTATTACTCTTCCATTGGGGTACTGTGCGTTCACTGGTCTGACTATCAAATGGAGAAATCATCTTAGATGAATTTCTTGCATCTTATCTTTCAGATGCGCAGTTTCTAACTTTCCGTAGATGACTTTGTCTCTTATTTTGTCATGTAATGCTACTATTTATCCCAACATGCTCATATCCAGTTTGATTTTGTGCTTTTGTAACACCCCCCCCCCTCCTCACAAAACAAAAACAAAAAAAATTGTGCTTTGCTACTAGTCTAACAAGCACAAACACTTCGAAGAAAATGTGTGTCCATGTCATGTCCAATGCACAGTTTCTAACTTTCCGTAGATGAGTTTGCCTCTTATTTTAAATGTTGAATCACATTTTGTAGAGAGATTTTACATGCTATTAACATAATTTGGGTGATTTAAACCCCCCCCCCCCTCCCCCCAAAAAAAAAAAAAAAAAAAAAAATTGTGCTTTGCTACTAGTTTAACAAGCACAAACACTTCGAAGAAAATGTGTGTCCATGTCATGTCCAACAATGATACTCATTGGACACTTCCCAACATGTGTTAGACACACATCATAATGAATAATACTATTTTCCTTTTTAAAAAAAAAAAAAAAATTAGACCCAGATATGCTTCGAATAGGGAACGCACACGTTAGACATGCTTGAAACACATCACAAGTTTGAACATGATACACTCACAAGACACTTCCCGACATGTGTTGGACACACATCATAATGATTAATACTATTTTTTTTATTTATTTTTTAAAAATTAGACCCATACATGCTTCGAACACTTAGGGAACACACATGTCCATCTATTAGACACTTGAAACACATTATAAGTTTGGTCGGCTAGAGGGCCAAAAAGTAGCGGTGGTGTCTTTACTTCAATCTTTGGATGAGCTAGAGGTTCAAGATGGGCTGTCTATTGATGACGGTATCCGTAAGAAGGCGGCTAAACAAGATTTTGTTCATATATCCTGTATGGGGAGGAATACTTTTGTCAAAAGTCTAGATATTTGTGATTGAAGGATGGGGATCGGAATACAAAATTCTTCCATCGAATGGCAAATGCTCATCGGAGGGTTAATCAGATTAGTAGGATGCGAGTGGATGGCCGAGAGCTACACATAAATGAGGATATTAGGGAAGGTTTGTGTTATATTATACCATCATAGTCCTTTTTGTTTTGTTTTATTTGTAAAAATGCATGCCTGCGTTCAATGAAGGTATACAATTCCAGATTTTTTAGTATGTATTTCTTCCTTCCTACCACTCTCCCTCCATGCAGACAACCCTGTGTGCGCACATCACATGTGTTTAAGTTAAGCAATTTACATCCATGACCACATTAAATTTTTAACTTTTTTAACTTCCCCTTTTTTTTTTCTTTTTTTTCTTTTTTTTTTTTGTATGGTGCTTTTTCAGGTTGAGTGTCCAAAGTATCCTGGATTTTGCATAACACGACAGAGGAAGGAGTATCCATTTGTTGAAATATTTCATAGCCCAGAGCAAGTAGGTTTGACTATATATTATTTTTATATTGTTTTTTCAGGTCTTGTTGCTGCTATACATGGTGAAATCTCCATGTCTGACTTCGCTTCAAATTATTGGAATTGGTGAAAGTGTTTCTTCTATATTGTATAGACTGCTAGAATTTGGTTGTCTTCCTGTCCCTGGCTTAACTGTAAATGGTTTTCTTTGTTATTGTGTTTTCTTGACAAAAAAATTGTTAGAATTTACCATCACCTACCACACACTTACCATCACCTACCACACACTCACCTACTACACTCACCTACTACACTCACCTACTCCTCACCTACCACCACCTAACCTACATCTATATAATCAATCAATTGTAACAGAATCAGATATTAAATGGTTTTCTTTGTTATTGTGTTTTCTTGATAAAAAAATATTTACAATTCCTTACATTTGTAATTTTTCCCTCTTTTTATGCTGAAAGGATAAGGGGACTGTGATCAATTGAGGAAGATATAACCTAGGATCTCTTATTCAGATGCAAACTATGCCACTGCTCCTTGTATTTGTTTTAAAAGAATGAGAACCATTGAAATGAAGTCTTTGTACTTGTTTTACACGTCTTTAAAATGAATCATTTTTTTTATATATTTTTTCAAATTCTTTTAAATGAATGGTTTCTGTATTGCTTTATTAATTTCTCTCTTCTGAATGCAACAACACCCCTCTTTCCCCAGCAATGCAGTTGCAGGGGGTGTGGTTTGGCAGTATTATGAATGTATATGTATCATTGCAAGCATATAATAGTCCTACGTTCTTTTTATGTTTTTCTACCTCCGGCAGAGCTCCAATTATGTAATAATTTCAGTTTAGATGATTGATTTGTGCCTTGTGGAAAACACACTATAAAGGCTTCATTTCTCTTGAGGCCTACTAGACTTTAATCTGAATATTGTGTTCTCTTCTTCTTTCAGACTTTTACTGCCAAAGTATTTATGCAACTGTGAATTATTTTTGTTCAGATCCATGTCAATTCTGTTTTCTTGCAGCTTTTAACCACCAATCATTGAATTTGCATTTTTTTTCTGGTGCAGGCACCTAGTCAAGGAAGGGTTGCTGATCCAAATATTACAAAATACGCTGTTAAAGTTTTACCTGTGAGTGTTTTTTGAAGCTTAATTATAATTTGATTTTACCAACTTAATTAATGTGCTTGTACATTTGCATCACAATTATTATTTTTTTTAAAAAAAAAAAAAAAAAAAAAAGAACGTGCAGTTCATAATTGTTGTCAGATAATATCATCAAAGCTTAAATCATCACCTAAATCTAACTCTCGAAATTTGCTCTATTTTACTGATGATTGGTAGCTGATGTGAAAGCCCTAAGTGCACTTGTTAACAAGTTTGAAATGGTTGTACATTCTTCATAAAAATGTGTGCAGTAAAGACTCTCAAACTATTTAAGCTCTGTTAACCAATGCCCTAAGAGCATGTTTGATTGGAAGGATTAAAGCATGGGATTAGGATTATTAATCCGTGGGCCCAATCATCCTATGTTTGTTTTGACATTTTGGTTTAGGACTATTAATCCAATGGATAATTAATCCAACAAATTTGTAGGATTATTAGTAATGGGGTAGGGGTGGGATAGTTAATACCACACTAATTTGATTGGATTATTAATACCTCACTATTAGTATTGTGAATCAAACATGACCTAAGGGCACTTGTTAGCAAGACTCTTTTTGTTTTAGAGAGAACAGAAAATTGACAGATACTTGTTAACACGTGATATTTTTATATGATCGCATCCTTCAATTCTTATCACATAAACTTTTCTTGCAGAGTATTGAATAGAAGGAAAAAGTTTTTTCAATTTGCGACTACCTTTGATTGATAAAACTAAAAGGAAACATTATAGGAAATTTGAAGTTTTTATTAATTTTCTTGTTTCTTCCCATCTAGCTCTTCTTTTTAATCTCCTTGACATTGTTGGTCTGTATTTTACAATAATTGTGCTGTTGCTTATGAAAGAAAAGCATCGCCGTACTTTTTGTCCTTTTTTTCTCCTCTCTCCACTTTGAAAGGAAACAATTGCATTTTTTGAACATGAAACAAAACTTCATGAGGTAGGCCAGTAGGAAATTGTGATAATATCATAGAGATTCTGTCAAGATTATTTTTTCCCGTTTTGTTTCTTTTTTGTTTTCATTGAGTGGAAGTGGTCTGACTTGTACTTTTTTTTTTTTTTCACCCCCGGAAATTACCAGTTCAACTATGATCAGAGTGCATATGGATTTAGAGAATTTTTCAAGCGGCACGGTATTAGGTCATCTGATGATGCAAAGTGAAACTTTGTGAGGATGGTAGCTCAGTGGAAGGAAGATTTCTTTTCAAGAGTATTGTTGATTCTTTGGCCTGTTTTGCATTGTAATAGGTATGGAGGATGTGAGAAATAGCTGTAGAATTCTAAATTGTCTATTTACATAAACTTATACAATGTTGGTGGCAAAATTTTTTGATCTTGATTTGTTTCACATCATATCTTCTTCCAGTTATTAAAGCCTTGTTTATTTATTTATTTTTTATGTGCCTTAAATAATTTAGTCCAGAAATCTAATCTAAGATTCAAGAACAGTGTAAATGTTTATGTGATGATGATGTTCAACTGAAAAAATAATTACTTTGTAAATCAAAACAGGAACCTACTTTACATGTGTTTTGGGTTTGGTTTTTTATTTTCTGATCATTGTGTGGTTTAATTTATTTATTAAACACAACTTTTGATTCCCAATCAGGAGTGCTTTAATTTATATTTTCAAACTTAAATTGTTTTATGAACTTCTGTTTTCAAAATAAGAATTCAAATAATTTTATATTATGGCTTTTAAAGTTGTATATTAAAAATACAAAATCGACTATGAGGACATTTTCAGAACACAATTAAAACAAAAGTGATGGAGAAATAAGAGTTGAAACAACTCAAGTAACGAGCTTTGAGCTCAGCAATTATCACTTGTCTGACGTTGGGTGGCATCGATAAAGGCCTTTAGGCCCTGTTTGTTTTGGGAGATAGAATGGAGGGGATTGATAGTGAGGAGATTATTAGTGAGGGGATTAATAGTGAGGGGATTATTAGTGAGGGGATTGATAGTGAGGGGATTAGTAGTGAGGAATTGTTAAATTATTTTTATATAAAATAATAAAACAAATAAAAAAATATAAAAAATTAAACATTATATTTAAAAAAAAATTCCCAATATATAAAAAATAAAAAAATTTCTAATCCCCTCACTATTTTCTAATACCATCTCTACCTCCTCCTTACCAATCTCCCTTCCAAAGGTATTAGCAATACCAAGGGACTAATAGTCCCAAGGCTTTCTCTCCAAACAAACAGGGGCTTCAGTAATACCTTGGTATTACTAGTCCCAATACCCTCTCTATATCCCAAAACAAACGGGGCCTTAGTTCGTATCTTTACAACTAGCAGCTCCCTTTTCACACCTCCTTGAGAGTATGTTAAATATATACACATTATTTGAATCCTTGAAAAAAGAGTTGGAACAAGTACTGGCTGGGCTGGTGGTTTGCTAAGGTGAGCTTGCTGGTAGGCTGCAAGTCAAGTCCTGTGTGTCATCTGATCCAATCTGCTGTGGTTCTGCCTGTGGGGTGTTTTGTGTGTTTGAATATGTTGGTCTGATGGTGGATGGCTGGTGATCTGCTAGGTAGATGATCTGTTACAATGGCAAGCCAGAATCTGGCTGCAAGTTCTGGGCTGGGCTGCTGGTATGCTAAGGTGAGCTTACTGTTAGGCTGCAAGTCCAGTCCTGTGTGTGATTTGATCCAATCTTCTGCTATTGAACTGACGGAATGTAATTCGGACTTGTAGGCTTTGAGTTTAAGCCGAAAACGCCTTAAACTCGGTTAAAAAAAGGCGTTCCGGGGGCAAAAATTCAAACAATCCCCAAACCACCTTGTGGCTCTCACAGACAGCTTCCCTATGACAAATAGGACTTGTGACAACTGACGGAATGTGTTTGGACCCGTAGGTTGGGAGTTAAGGCCGAATACGCCCTAACCTTACTCAAAAAAGGGCGTTTCGGAGGCAAAAAATCAAAACAGCCCCCGAACCACCATGTGACTCTCACGGGCAGCTCCCCCATGACAAATAGGACTTGTGACAACTGACGGAATATAATCCGGACCCATACGTTGAGAGTTAGAGCCGAATACGCCCAAAACTTACTCGAAAAAGGGCGGTTTGGGGGCGAACATTCAAAACAGACCCCGAACCACCGTGTGAATCCCACCGGCAACTTCCCCATGACAAATACGACTTGTGATAATTGACGAAATGTAATTCGGACCCGTAGGTTGGGATTTAGAACCGAATACGCCCAAAACTTACTCGAAAAATGGCGTTTCGGAGGCGAAAAATCAAAACAGCCCCCGAACTACCATGTGACTCTCACGGGTAGCTTTCCCATGACAAATAGGACTTCTGACAACTGACGAAATGTAATTCGGACTCGTAGGTTGGGATTTAGAGCCGAATACGCCCAAACGTTACTCGAACAAAGCGTTTCGGGGCGAAAATTGAAAACAGCCCCCGAACCACCGTGTGACTCTCACGAGCACCTTCCCCATGACAAATAAGACTTGTCAAACCTGAAGGAATGTAATTCGAACCCATAGATTGGGATTTACAGCCGAACACGCCCAAAACTTAGTCTAAAAAGGGCGTTTCAGGGCCGAAAATTCAAAATAGCCCCCGAACCGCCATGTCGCTCTCACGAGCAGCTTCCTTATGACAAATAGGACTTGTGATAATTGACGGAATGTAATTCGGATCCGTAGGTTGGGAGTTAGAGCCGAATACGCCCAAAACTTACTCGAAAAAGGGCGTTTCGGAGGCGAAAAATCAAAACAACCCCCGAACTACCATGTGACTCTCACAGGCAGCTTTCCCATGACAAATAGGACTTGTGACAACTGACAGAATATAATCCGAACCCGTAGGTTGGGAGTTAGAGCCGAATACGCCCAAAACTTACTCGAAAAATGGCAGTTTGGGGGGGAAAATTCAAAACAGCCCCCGAACCACCGTGTGACTCTCATGGGCAGCTTCCCCATGACAAATAGGACTTGTGACAACTAACGAAATGTAATTCGGATCCGTTGGTTGGGAGTTAGAGCCGAATATGCCCAAAACTGATAATTGATTCATCATGGAAGGTTGCTTTTGTGATTGAACATACATTTCTACATATTTCCTTTTGTGATTGAACTTTATTTTGGCTATTATTTTTCTCACATGTTCTAATATCTTCAATGAAATGGCACTGACAGACATTAATAAGTAGGGATAGTTTTATATCCAATCTAATGATTCAAGTGGTTTTTGCAAACAATTAATGAGGATGTTGGTAAAAAGAATAGTTTCTATTCACATCGGGCTTTGATATTGGTTTAGCCATAGAATTTGGATACATGTTGCATACAAATAAAAGATTGTTACATTAGCTTTATGTTAGTAATGACAGATTTAGTAATGATTGTTCTGCATTTAACAATGTTCCTTATAACAAAAGACTTTAGAAAAATTGATGATTGATTCATCATGGAAGGTTGCTTCTTTGATATGTTATTTGTAACTTGTTCCCAAATTCATTCATGAAGTTGGGCATTTTTGGGTCCAATTCTAACGTTTTTTTGTTTTTTTTGTTTTTTGTAGATGACTTTGTTGCGTGGACTTTCAGAGTAATATTTTGGTGTATGGAG